ACTACACAGCTCTATGGAATCATCCAAGTCACAATTACTACGGTGCACGCCCACAAGACCGTCACCTAGCATGTGAGTCACCTCAACACCAACCACATAACACGTAGTTCGAGGATTCATACCCTCAGTATCAAGTTTAGAAGTATTACTTACCTCAAACCGCACAAATTCCTACTCCAACAAGCCATTGCCTCACAAATCGGCCTCTGAACGACTCGAATTTGGCCACAAATAACTTAATACAATCAATACAAGCCATAGGAATCAATTCCATATGATAAAGCTAAGTTCTTTAATCGAAGTCAAAAAGTCAATCAAAAAAGTCAACCCCGGGTCCACGTCTCAGAATCCAACAAAATTTATAAAATGCTAACACCCATTCAATAACGAGTCCAACCATACCAAAATCACCTAATTCCGACCTCAAATCGCCACTCAAATCCCCAAATCTTACTCTCAAATACATGGGTCAAAAATCCCCAAATTTCACCTCAAAAACACCACCTGTATGGGGAAAATTCAATGGGTATTCAATATTAATAGATAAAAACGACTAAAATTTGCTTACCTCTTTTTAAATATAGTGAAAACCCTTTAAAATATCGCCTCAATCCGAGCTCCTAAGGTCCAAAAATAAAGAAATTACTCTAATCCTCGACTTTATACATTATGCCAGACATTTCGTATCTGTGGAGTCAGGAGCCACACATGCGATTCCGATTTTGCGGAGAAATCTTTGCTTATGTGAAGACTATTTAAGCCCCCAACCTAGCGCACCTGCGGTCCCATCTTCGCACCTGCGTGACCACATCTGCGGTCACACCATCGCTTCTGTGATCCCCAGCCCTACTGTCAAAATTTGCTTTTGCGGAACACCTTAGCGTAGGAGTGCGTCCGCTTCTGCGGATTCACCTCCGCACCTGCGCTCCCATACTGACCTCTCAGTTCCCTCACCTGCGTGCACCTAGCCGCTTCTGCGGCTCCGCACCTGCAGCCCATTTCTCGCAGGTGTGGTGCACCAGACCTGATCACACCAGCACTTCCACAAGTCTAAAATTCAATCTGTTTTCAATTGGAAACATTCCCGAGGCCCCCGGAACCCCATCCAAACATACAAACCCATCCTAAAATATCATAAGAACTTAGTCGAGGCCTCAAATCATATCAAACAACAACAAAAACACGAACCACACTCCAATTCCAGCCTAATGAAACTAATGGATTTTCCAACTTCTACAATCGATGCCGAAACCTATCAACCAACTCCGATTGACATCAAATTTCACACACAAGTCAAAAATGACACAACGGACCTACTCTAACTTTCGAAACCAAAATTTGAGCCCGGTAATCACAAAGACAATTCTCGGTCAAACTTCTCAATTCTCCAAACTTTAATTTTTTTAACTTTTGTCAATTCAAGTCAAAATCATGTACAGACCTCCAAATCAATATCCGGACATGATCCTCTATCCAAAATCACAATACGGAGCTATCAGAACCATCAAAACTCTATTCTGAAGTCATTTACACATAAGTCAATATCCGATCAACTCTTTCAACTTAGGATTTCAACCTTGGGACTAAGTGTCCCAATTCATTTCGAAACATCCTCGTAACTAAACTAACCATCCCGGCAAGTCACGTAACAACAAAAGAATACATAATAAGCAATAAATGGGGGAACGAAGCCATAATACTCAAAACGATCGGCCGGATCGTTACAGTTAGTGACCGCATAGAGCTAAAAAATAAATCTCCACTAGCTCAGCCGTGTAATTATAAAGTAGGCGAAGTAGACGAGGTGCAAAATATTGATCAACATGATAATATTAATGTACCTATGCAACATCAACCATATATAATTTCAACAAGCAGAGAGAAAAGAGTGATCAATTGACCACAACGGTTTGCAAACGTAGTTTATGGGAATCTTCTTGGATATATGAATCTTGTGGGATTTGATATGGTAGTTACAGAGACCGTTGATGCATTTGAGTGTTATAGCTATCCAGAAGTTACTCCGAGTACATAACCAAATCGACGGATTAGTACTATGGCTGAAGAGATTGAGTCTCTTAACAAGTTTAGGCATTGCCTAGACTTGGTTAATGTGTGCGGCAGTGAATAGAGACCTTGCGAGGGATGAGGGCAAGGTAGAGAGACGTTGTTCCTGTTGATAAAGAGAATTCAAGCCAAGGGGAAGATTTATAATTTTGGATTGAATTATTTCCTTATATTTTTAGGAAACCCATAATCCTTATAGGTTTAGGAAAATCCATTGTCCTAAAAGATTTGGGAAAGAAAAACCTATTGTACTTGTCAAATTGGAACATCTTTCTCTTATATATTTGAGACTATTTGAGATATATATATATAGGGGTTGTAATTGGAGATTCTATAGATTATATTGTGCTTTTCTTCTCATTCATAGTAGAAAACTCTCTCTGCTTATGCTCCGAGGATTAGGCTTAGCCGAACCTCGTTAAATCCTTGTGTTGATTTTTCTTCTCTACTTCCTTTGTATGTGATTGTGTGCTAGTTAACCACGATCTTCCGCAACAGTAGCCTTCGAGAAAAATAGGAGGTAGTAAGAATACAATTTTTTTTTGGATTCATCCCTGACCTCATTCAAGAATTAGCTTCGTTAAGACAACTAGGGAAAGATGTTTGTTTGAATAGATGGTGTTTAAGAAGAAGTTCGTACTCAGAAATGGGCTAAATAAATCAATGACCAGGTCCTACTGTCTTGAAGAATGAGGGACAAAGAAATTGATCAATCACATACAATCTCCTACGAATAGATAGTTTTAATTTAAGAAAAAGGCGCCTGAATTTATCCATGGTTTCTTTGCTTAATCGGCAAAGGACCAAATATATCCCTGTACTATGAGAAAAGGTTTAAATATACCATTTGTTGTACTTTGGGTCCAAATATATCTCTGCCGTAATACTATCGGTTTAAATATACCCCTCTTTTGTTAAGTTTGTCCAAGGTGGACATCCAATCCTACTTGGCACCGATACTTGATGAGATGAATGCCACATGACATGCCACCTCAGCGCCCCTAATCCATATATAAAAGACTGAAATTTGAAATACAATATTTTTCATGGTAACGGTAATTGTCGCAATAGTGGTGGAGGGGAAGTGAATTCTAGTGGTGAAAAAAAAAATAGAAGGGAGGGGTAAAATGGGTTAGGGGTGCTGAGGTGGCAAGCCATATGACATCCACCTCATCAAATGTTAGTGCCACGTAGGATTGGATGTCCACTTTGGACAAACTTAACGAAAAAGGGGTATATCTGAATCAATAGTATAACGATAGAGGTATATTTGGACTCAAAGTATAACGAAGGGTATATTTAAACCTTTTCTGATAGTACATGGATATATTTGGCCCTTTTCCGTTGCTTAATTTATTACCTTTTCTGTTCCACTTTATGTGGCAATATGTTTTTACTATTCCCAAAAGAACGACGATTTTCTATATTTAGGCATAATTTAACTTTAAATTTCTCTTTTTATCCTGAATGAGATGATTTATGGCCACACAAATATCTATGGCTTGTTTTAGACCATACGTTTCAAAAATTTTATTTTCTTTATCAAACTCTGTGCACATTCAAATTTTGTTTTAAATAAATCTAAAATAATTTTATAAAATTCAACGAACAAAGAAAAATAATGAATGTCTAGTGGCTCTTATAATGGAAACAACAACAAGCGATAGGTGAAGTCCCAAAGAAATTGCAAAGAATAAATTTCTTAAAGTTAGAGTGTTATGTTGCTGAAATGAAATCACGGAATAAATCATACGATGTCGGAGTTCGAAACTTTTACGTATAAATGAAACTCCAGCACAATGTGTAAGAGTTCAAAAAATTCTTGGTGTTACAAATACAGTTTAAACTTGAGTTGTGACAATTCAAGCTCCAGCAGTTGTTCCTCGAGTTTAAACTAGCATAGTATAATTTCAAGAATTTTTCATGGAGTTTTAACTCATGAGGGTTCAAACTAGAGAGATATATTATGGAGTTTAAATAGGCATCATGAGTGCAATAATGTAAAAAGATTATTTCAACTCACGGTACTAATAGGTATAATGAATGAAATAATGATAAATAGACTTTTAAGTTTTAAAACAGGCATTATGAATGAAATAATAATAAAATATACTACTATAAGTTTTAAAATAGGTATCATGAGTAAAATAAGTACGTGAAATAATGTGAAAAGAATTATTTTACTCACGTTACCTCTTTTGAACTCTAAGACAATGTTCTCGAGTGTAACGATACGGTCGTTTTGAGTAATTTAGTCCTGTTTTTCTATTTATTGACTCCTATATGTTATATTGTGGTTATGTGACTTTTCGGGGTGTTTGGTTCTGGTTCCGGGTGAGTTTCAGAGTGAAATGGGACACTTAGTCCCAGAGTTGGAAGCTTAAGTTGAAACAGTTGATCGGAGTTTGACTTTTGTGTAGATGACTCCAGAATAAAGTTTTGACGATTCCGATAGCTTCGTATGGTGATTTTGGACTTAGGAGTGTGTTCGGATATTGATTTGGAGGTCCGTAGGTCATTTTGGCTTGAATTGACGAAAGTTAGAAGGTTGAAGAAGGTCTAGAAGTTGATAAGTTTGACCGCAAATTGACTTTATTGTTATCGAATCGGATTCTGATTCCGGAAGTTGGAATAGGTCCATTGTGTCATTTATGACTTGTGTGCAAAATTTGAGGTCAATCGGAATTATTTTGGCATGAATCGGCGTTAGTTTTGGAAGTAGGATGTTCATAGTTTCAATAGGTTTGAATTGGGTTGAGATTCATAGAATCGATGTTGTTTGATGTGATTTTAGGCCTCGAGTAAGTCTGTTATGTGTGAATCAGATTGAAATCGGATCATTTTTGGACTTAATGGAATGCTGAAGCTGCTGAGGTTCTGGTGCAATCGCACCTACGCACTTAGGGCCGCAGAAGCGCTTGTGATCCGCATAAATGAAGATTGGTCTGGTCAGCTGGGGATGCAGGGTGCGGTCAGTTATCCGCAGGAGCGGACGCGCAGAAGCGGTTGGACTCCCGCAGAAGCGTAAGCGTAGATGCGCTTAGGGCTCCACATGGGCGATATTTCTGGGGCCTAAGTGAGGGCCGCACTTCCGATGGAAATTCTGTAGGTGCAGAGCCGTAGATACGGCTAAGGGCTAGCAGAAGCGAAAATCGCTCGGCAAAAATAGTTAATTCGAGGGTTTAATTTCATTCATCTTTTTACCTAGAGAGCTCGGTTTGTGATGATTTCGAGGGAGATTTTCAAGGCATTGATCAGGGTAAGCGATTCTAACTCGGATTTCGTTATTATACATGAATCCATCGTCATTTTTATCATTTAATTAGTGTTTTGAGTTAAAAAAAATTGGAAAAAATTGTGAAAACTTCATAGACTATATTTTGGGGATTTGGAGGTCGATTTGAGATCGAAATTAGTAATTTTAGTATGGTTGGACTCGTTATCGAATGGGTGTTCGGATTTTGTAAGTTTGGTCGGGTTCCGAGACGCGAGTCCGGGGTTGACTTTTTGAGTTGACTTTTTGATTCTCTTTAAAGATTGCAACCTTATTATTCATAATAGTTTTCTATGGTTTGTATTTATGGTATGAAATTATTTTGGCTAGATTCGAGCCATTCGGAGTTGAAAAACCATGGAAAAGGCTTACTAGTGGATTGAGTTAGCGTGTTTTGAGGTAAGTGTATTATCTAACTTTGTGTGAAGAAATTACCCCTTAAGATTGATATTGTTTTGTGTTAATTGAGGTACATGAAGGCCGTGTACGCAAGGTGACGAGTGGGTACACGTGGTAAATGTGGTAATTGACCAGTTAAAGTTATGTAAATTCTCTTCATACCTTTAATTGAATTGTCATAACATGCTATATCTATCATCGTTAATCTATCCTTACGTGATTTACTTGACATTGTAATTACTTGTCTCATCTCTTACTTGTTATTTGTCTGTACGTGCATAGTTGAAGTTATTGTTCTCTCATTTCCTTGTCAATTATTTAACTGTTGCGTTACCTTACTTGAAGTTGTTATTTCTTGGAATATCTTATTGTTGAATTATGGTGTTGAAGTTAATAAGGCCGTGATTCGCATTGAGGCAAAGTTGTAAACTATGGAAATACCATTCTTGTTGAGATATTCAATTTCGGTTGCTATTTTGAGACTCTCGTGTATATTGTGGTTGAGCTATAGGCTATTTATTATGGAAATATCATTGTTGTTGACTTCTTTGGCAAGTTGTAATTTTGGACACTTGAGGTGCGATTTGTGATATATTGTGTTATTGATACGCGTGCAGTGGTATAAGGATTGTGGTTGATACGCATGCGGTGAGATAAGGTGGGCTTGATATGCGTGTTGCTAGTAGGAAAACTACTTAAAGCCATGCGGTGTGATAAGGTGGGCTAAAACGTGGGTAGCTATTTCGAAAAAATAATTTTCAAAACTAAATACTAGGCTCCCACGGTAGTATAAGGAAAGACTGAGATTTGATTTGTGAAATGAGACTACGAGGCGGTACCTCGGTAGTGATTCTTGTTGATACCTTTTATTTACATCACTTGTGTTTTGTTTGCATTGTCTTCTTGGCATTCTAATTGTGTGTTTTCTTCCGTGATGTCTTAATTGCCTTAGTTCAGTATAGCTATTCTTGTTATATTTCTTCATTGTATCATTTTCATTATTTTCATTATCACATACCGTATGATACCTGTTCAATTTTCTTATTTATTCTAGCAGGTGTCTTGACCAGACCTCATCACTACTCTATCGAGGTTAGGCTTGATACTTACTGGATACCGTTGTGGTGTACTCATACTACGCTTCTGCACATTTTTATACAGATTCAGGTACTTCATACCGGCCTAGGCACCAGTGAGTCGAGCTTGGATCGGAGATTTAAAGGTATACCTGCCGGCGCTCGCTGGCCTCGGAGTCACCCTCTATCTAGTTTTTATTTCATCCTCCTATTATAGATTCTGTTGTATATGGATGTTTCAGTATACTCGTGTAGAGCTTGTGACTCGGTCTCACCAGATTTTTGGAGTTATATTCAGTTGTATTATAGAGTCCTTTTTATGATAGTTGTTGGTTTAACTGAAAGTTTAATTGTTATTTAAGTCAATTCTTCATGCATCTTAGGCTTACCTAGTCTTAGAGACTAGGTGCCATCACGACATCCTACTGAGGGAGTTTGGGGTCGTGATAAATTGGTATCAGAACTCTATATTCATAGGTGTTACGAGTCATAAGCAGGTTCAGTAGAGTCTCGCGGATCGGTACGTAGACGTATGTGCTTATCTTCGATAGGCTATGGAACTGTTAGGAAACTTCATTTCTTTGATTCCTTATCGTGTGAATTTATTGACTTCGAAATTCTGAATCTTTGTCTTTCTATTCTCTTATAGATGGTGAGGACACGTATCACTGGATCCGACGATCACACACCCGCGCCCCCGCTAGAGCCATGAAAGGCCGGGGCCGGGGTAGAGGCCGAGGAGGGGCACATGGTGAAGCTAGAGGACCTGACCGAGCTGCGACAGAGGAGCCACCAGTAGCTCCAGTTGGGGGGCAGGCACCTGAGGCGCCTGTTGCCACCGCTGCACTTCAGGAGACCTGGCATAGTTCTTGAGCATGTTTTGTACTCTAGCTCAGGCGAGGTTGATTCCACTTGTACCAGCCACATCTCAGGCCGGGGGAGGAGCTTAGACTCCCGTGTCCCATACCCAAGATCAGCGAGTCCATGTTGACCAGGTCCCAAAGGTTATACCAGTGAAGCCAGTTGTCCCAGTTCTGGCCGAGGTTAGGGCAGAAGCATCTGAGGAGGAGCAGCTCAGACTCGAGAGGTACAAGAAGTACCACCCTCCTACTTTTAGAAGCCTAGCTACAGAGGATGCAGAGTTTTCTAGAGAAGTTCCACCGTATTCTCTGTACCATAGGTATCGTGGAGATGAGCGGGGTTTATTTTTCTACATTCTAGCTGTCGGGACCAGCGTACCAGTGGCGGCGGGTTTATGAGGAGGGTAGCCCCGTCGACATAGCTTCACTCACATGAGATCAGTTCTCAGAGATGCTCTTAAGAGAGTTTGTTCCCTAGAGCTTTCGGGATGCGTGGCGCGCGGAGTTTGAGCAGTTGCGCTAGGGTGCTATGACCGTGTCAGAGTATGCTGTCAAGTTCAGCGAGTTGTTCGGACATGCACCTGCCTTAGTTTCCACAGTTAGAGAGTGAGTCCGTCGATTTATTGAGGGTCTCAACTATGTATTAGGTTCAACATGGCTTGAGAGTTGGAGACTAATAAGCCATATCAACAAGTGGTAGAGATCACACGAAGATGGGAGGGTATGCGAAGTCTAGAGAGAGGACAGGGAGGCTAAAAGGCCTTGAGATTCTGGCGGATATAGTGTCCGTGCCTTAGTTGCAGCTCGTCACGGTAGATGCTATGTGAGTCGTCTAGTTCATTCAGCAATTCCAACTTCTAGTGGTACTTCGGCTACTCCCAGGTCTCAGGTTGCCCATTATGCACCGCCACTGTCTAGTGCACCTCCTGTACGGGGTGCTTTCAGCGGTCAATACAACCGACCAGGACCGAGCCAGTTTCAACAACCACGTCCTCCGAGAGCTTGTTTTTAGTGTGGTGATACTCGTCATATGGTGAGGGACCCAGACTTAGGAGGGGTGTACCTCCACAAACTACTTAGGCTCTACGTATTCCATAGGGTCCCCAGACTTCTCAGGTCATGGTTACCGCACCAGTTGCCGCTCCATCTGCACAGGAAGCCAGGGGTGGAGTTTAGGCGGGCAGGGGTCGCCTTAGAGGGGGAGGCCAGACCAGATGTTGTGCTCTTCCGAGTAGGACGGAGGTGGTTGCATTAGACGCAGTTATCACATATATTGTTCCTGTTTGTCATAGAGATGCATCAGTCTTATTTGATCCAGGCTCTACTTATTCATATATATCATCTTACTTTTCCCAGTATTTGGGTATATCTCGTGATTATTTGAGTTCTCCTGTTTATGTATCCACACTTGTGGGAGATTCTGTTGTTGTTGACCGTATGTATCAGTCGTGTTTAGTTGTTATTGGTGGTTTTGAGACCAGAGTTTATCTATTGTTTCTCAGTATGATAGACTTTGATATTATTTTGGGCATGGACTTGTTGTCGCCCTATCATGGTATAATTTATTGTCACGCCAAGACGGTGACGCTGTCTATGCCAGGCTTATCGCGGTTGGAGTGGAGGGGTACCTTAGATTATGTTCCTAGCAGGGTTGTGTCCTTTCTTAAGGCACATCGGATGGTTGGGAAGGGGTGTGATGCATATCTAGCCTTTGTGAGAGATGTCAGTGTTGATACTCCTACCGTTGAGTCAATTTCGGTAGTGAGAGACAATCCAGATGTATTTCCGGTCGATCTTCCATGCATGCCGCCCGATTGGGATATCGATTTTGGTATTGACTTGTTGCCGTGCACTCAACCCATTTCTATTCCACCATATTGTATGGCCCCAATGGAGTTGAATGAGTTAAAGGATCAGTTGCAATAGTTGCTCGATAAGGGTTTCATTCGGCCTAATGAGTCGCCTTGGGGTGCTCCGGTCTTTTTTTTTGAAGAAGAATGATGGTTCTATGCGCATATGTATTGATTATCGGCAGTTGAACAAGGTTACATTGAAGAACATGTATCCATTGCCACACACTTATGACTTATTTGAGCAGCAACAGGGTGCCAGAGTGTTCTCAAAAATTTATTTGCGGTCAGGGTATCATAAGCTGAAGATTCGGGATCCGAATATTCTGAAGACTGTCTTTAGGACTCGGTATGGTCATTACGAGTTTCTTGTGATGTCATTTGGGCTTACCAACGCCCCAAAAATGTTCATGCACTTGATGAACAGTGTATTCTAGCCCTATCTTGATTTATTCATCATTGTGTTTATTGATGACATATTGGTGTACTCCATAGCCCGTAGGATCATGAGTAGCCTTTGAGGATTGTGCTCCATATCTTGAGAGAAAAGAAGTTGTATGCGAAATTTTCCAAGTGTGAATTCTAGCTTGATTTGGTGGCATTTTTGGGTCATCTGTTGTCGAGTGAGGGGATCAAGATAGATCCGAAGAATATTGAAGTAGTGTAGAGTTGGCCCAGACCATCTTCAGCTACTGAGATCAGGAGTTTTCTTGGTTTGGTCGGGGTATTATCATCATTTCGTAGAGGATTTCTCATCTATTGCTGCACCTATGACCAGACTGACCCAGAAGGGTGCTCCGTTCAGATGGACTGATGAGTGTGAGAAGAGCTTTCAAAAGCTCAAGTCTACTTTGACTACAACCCCGGTGTTGGTGTTGCCTACAGGTTCAGGGTCTAACACTATGTACTATGATGCGTCACGTGTTGGCCTTGGCGCGGTGTTGATGCAAGACGGTAGGGTGATTTCCTGCACGTCTAGACAACTGAAGGATCATGAGAAGAATTATCTTATCCACGACTTGGAATTAGCAGCGATTGTTCATGCCTTGAAGATTATGCAGCACTATTTTTACAGTGTGCCTTGTGAGGTCTATACTGACCACTAGAGTCTACAACATCTGTTCAAATAAAAGGATCTTAACTTGCGGCAATGGAGATGGTTAGGTTGCTTAAGGACTATGATATCACTATTCTATATCATCCTGTGAAGGCCAATGTGGTGGCCGATGTCTTGAGCCGAAAGGCGGAGGGCTTGAGCAGTTTAGCATATCTACCGGCAACACAAAGGCCATTAGCATTGAATGTTCATGACTTGGCCAACTAGTTTGTTAGATTGGATGTTTCGGAGCCGAGTCGAGTTCTGGCTTGTGTGGTTTCTTTGTCTTCTCTATATGATCACATCAGAGAGCGTCCGTATGACGACCCCCATGTCCTTAAGGACACGGTACAACACGGCGATGCCAAGGAGGTTTCTATCGGAGATGACGGTGTGTTGCAGATGCAGGGCTGGCTATATGTCCCCAATGTGGATGGTTTGCATGAGTTGATTCTTCAGGAGGCCCATAGTTTACGGTACTTCATTCATCCGGGTGCCGCTAATATGTATTAGGATTTGAGGCAGCACTATTGGTGAAGGAGAATGAAGAAAGACATAGTGGAGTATGTAGCTCGGTGCCTAAATTGTCAGCATGTGAAGTATGAGCACCATAGGCCAAGTGGGTTGCTTTAGAGACTTGAGATTTCTGAGTGGAAATGGGAGCGAGTTACCATGGATTTTGTTGTTGGGCTCCCTCGAACTCAGAAGAAATTTGACGCAGTATGGGTGATTGTGGATAGGTTGACCAAGTTGGCTCATTTCATTCCAATGGTAACTACTTATTCTTTAGAGCAGCTGGCTCAGGTCTATATTCGCGAGATTGTTCAACTTTATAGTGTACCCCTCTGACCGGGGTACGTAGTTTACATCGTGAATTTGGAGAGTCATACAACGTGAGTTAGGCACGCGGGTTGAGTTGAGTACAACATTCCACTCCCAGACGGACGGATAGTCCGAATGCACCATTCAGATTTTGGAGGATATGCTTCGTGCTTGTATTATGGAGTTTGGAGGTTCTTGGGATCGGTTTTTGCCGCTTGCGGAGTTTGCCCACAACAACAGCTACCAATCGAGTATTCAGATCGCTCCTTATGAGGCCCTATATGGGAGATGGTGTCGTTCCCCAGTTGGTTAGTTTGATCCAGGAGAGACTAAGTAACTAGGCACGTATTTGGTTCGAGATGCCTTGGAGAAGGTCAAGTTGATCCAGGATCGGCTTCGTACAGTCCAATCTAGACAGAAGAGTTATGCGGATCGGAATGTTCGTGGCTTTGTATTCATGGTTGGAGAGTGGGTCTTGCTCCGTGTTTCACCCATGAAGGGTGTTATGAGGTCCGGGAAGAAGGGCAAGTTGAGCCCTAGGTATATCAGACCTTTTGAGATTCTTGAGAGGATTGGTGAGGTGGTCTACAAGCTTGCCTTGAAACCTAGTCTAGCTGCAATTCATCCAGTATCCCATATTTTTATGCTCCGGAAGTATCACGGTGATCCGTCCCATGCGTTAAATTGCAGCCCAGTCCAATTGGAATCTTGGACAGGCAGGTTTGAAAGTTGAGATCAAAGAACATTGCTTCAGCGAAGGTTCAGTGGAGGGATCAACCAGTCAAGGAGGCCACTTGGGATACCGAGCATGATATGTGTAGCCGTTATCCTCATCTTTTCATCAATTCGAGTATGTCTCTATACTCGTTTGAGGACGAACGTTTGTTTTAAGGGGGGAGGATGTAACGACCC